GAGCATATGTCTATAGGACTTTTTTTCTTAGTTTTTTACTCCTCTACACGCTCCCGAAGTTTTGCCATTTAATTTGGAAACACCCTGTATATGTATATATATGAGAGAGAGAGATGATGCTACTCGAAAAACAATACAAAGCATTAAAGGAAGTATCTTAGAGATTCGCGGTGTCTATGTCGCGTTCGATATTCGTTTGAGCACACGAAACCATTCAAGGAAATAGGATCTAAGAGCATAGAAGAAGTAATGGAAGAGTGCTATACGAAGTAGTGATCGGTATTTTGACTCACTTGGCCAAATACAATACCTCTCAGCACTTAGTACTTGTGACATCGACAAATATACGATATCTCGTTTCTACGTCGTTCGTATAAGTCTGTTGGAAAACAGAAAAATCTAATTGGAGAATTAGGCGAAAGAATCGCTGAGTATATAACTTCGCACTAAAGTGGAAAAAATCCAATTAAAATCTAAAAAAGTAATTTGCGAACTTTTTATATTACGTCTATTTATGCACAGCACACTGCTTGTTATTAATTTTTTTAAACAACAATAAAACAAGGCTAATGAGAGTGCGATCCAATAAACAGAGCACAATTCATTTTACAAACTAGTACACCAAATTAATGTTCACAATAAATATGTTCGAACATTTCGACTCACTTTGGAGTTTTCATCAGTGAATAATCTTTAAATCATTCATCTTCAAAATGAATCGAAACATTCGAATACTTATTTATTATACGAACATTAATTTTAAATACTAGTTTCACGTTGTAAAATTAATTGTGCTTTGTTTACTGCGTCGCACTTTCATTAACTTTACTCTATTGTTGTTAATTTTGAGAGTCTAAGAAACTTTTCCTTCCTTTTTTTACAATTTTTTTTAGATGATATAACGTTTGTAATATTATTTCGTAATACGGGGCGAAAGACGTGATAATATTAAACGTTTCGCGCGTAAGATGAATAATTAAAGCGCTCACCTGACTAGCGTGTACGACCGAGAGGAGCGCGGCCGAGACCAACGCGCTGGAACTCGAAAGGCCAGAATTAGGGGGAATGTTTCCCCATACCGCAATCAGAATTCCCGTTGGAACCGACTCCGCTGGGATTATTTCCAGCGCTCCTTTTACACCGCATAGAAAATATTTGTACCATGCCGGCCCGCTTTCGCTATCGCTAATATAAGATCTGAAATGCAGCAAAACGCGATTATGCTACATTTACACGGAAAGAAGATTTTGCTGAAGTATTAAAATTTAATTAGATATAGATTTGAAAATAATTTTATTTAGACCATCAGAGTAATTATGTAGAATACCCGAACTATTTGCTATAGTAATATTGCTCAAATTAGTTGCTAACTAGTTTGAGCAAAGTTACTTTAGTATTTTTAACGCTTTAATGCTAAATGTTCCACATAATTATTTTGATGGTTTAATAAAATTATATTCAAATTTACTGTATCTAGTTAAATTTTTAGATATTTCAGCACAATTCGTTCCATATATGTACATTTATAAAAATTTAACTGTCAGCATTAAAGTGTTGTGAAAGGAAGATTATTATTGTCAGATATTTTATTCGTATTTTTAGTCTTTTTTATTGCTTTGTTTGTTATCACTGTAAAAATTAACGCGTACATATATGACAGAAAAATCGGAAAATCGATAATGGTAGATTCGCTAAGTCTGTCATCTGAGTTATATGCTATCCGACGTGGTTGCGCGACATTGAATAATGAATGAGATTAAGAAAGTTCATATTATCTTCCTCGGTATTATACATGGAGCAAAGAAAGCGCGGAGGTAATTTAATCCAAACGAGAGCGAGGTTGCACGCGAGCACAATATCATCTGCTTTTCTTACATTACGCGTAGCACAAGTCCATTGGTCATCCGTTGTTTTTTTATTGGATTTTCACATCGTAAAATAACTACCATGTTTTTCATGTAGATTAATTTAATTGCGAAATGGAAAGGGGTTTTATCTCCACCGATGCGAACGCACATACGCTATACGGATAAATCGCATATAATTCTAGTTTCAGCGTCATAATCCAAGATGGCCGCGGTAAGGGATCAGCAGGCTTAAATTGTTAGGGAGCTATAAGTGCTTATAAGTGCCTAAGACCACAACTGTGAGCACGACGTGCATTATAGAGGTGTTACATTATATGCCACGTGCGGTATAGTTTGCTATATATTAGATACGATGTGTATTGCAAGATCTTAGTATGGGAAAGTTTTTTTAAAATGAATGTATCGTTTAGTTTCTAGAAACTATTATAAAGTTAATCGACAAATCCTCAAACTTGTCTAAACTATTGATTCTATCTATTGATTCTATCTATTGTAAATGAACTTAGACTCATATCAAACTACGCGCTTACCCTGTGTTGTTGAAACTGCATCGGAAGTCTTCGTACTTCGAATCTACATTGGTGAGATGAATTTCATTATCTTTCGATAATGTTACCGCGACAAGGATATCTTGTTCAATGGCCATTGGACAGACCGAATATCCGCAGTAATCGATGTGCTCGCCTATTAGATTAACTCTGTATAACGGAACAGAAATATTCGTAAATTTATTTATCCTTATCAAAATAACTTACAGAATATCTAGAAATTATGGCTCATATTCAGAATGCGTTTATAATGTCAGCGCGTATTTAATATACATACAGGGTCATCGAAAAGTATCGGACCCCCCTAATATCTTCAGTTAGAATGCATTTTGGAGAAAATTTCCAATAGCAAAGTTGTATGGTTTCAAGCGAGGAGTAAGATGATGACCTTGACTTTGATCTTGACCATGTCCTTTAAGGTCATTTCAAGGTCAACGTTATTTTTTTAAATGGAACCCGCTACATTTTATTGCATATTTTTATAGCTTATCTCGAGAGCTTTCCAAAACACTATAATAAAACGTTTTTTCATTAAGTACTTTTTGAGTTATAAAGGTTTGAAGTTAACAATTTTTTGACACAAAATGTAAATATTGTAAAAATATTGTAATCTTGTAAAATATTATTTAGTTTTCAGTAATCATAACCTTAATACTTTTGTGCGCGGAATAATGAGACCAATTAATTGGTTTAAAGAAAATACATTAATCAAAAAGTGTCGGATCCCCCTAATATTTTCAGTAAGAATTGTTAACTTCAAACCTTTATAACTCAAAAAGTACTTAATGAAAATACTTTTTATTATAGTGTTTTGGAAAGCTCTCGAGATAAGCTATAAAAATATGCAATAAAATGTAGGGGGTTCCATTTAAAAAAATAAGGTTGACCTTGAAATGACCTTAAAGGACATGGTCAAGATCAAAGTCAAGGTCATCATCTTACTCCTCGCTTGAAACCATACAACTTTGCTGTTGGACATTTTCTCCAAAACGTATTCTAACTGAAGATATTAAGGGGGTCCGATACTTTTCGATGACCCTGTATAATTACATTATATATAGAATTTCAGAAATAAAAGCGCACATTGATAAAAGCACGTTCTGGGCCTATTTATAAAACTTAAGTGCCGCGTTTCCAAAATTAAGACATAAATTTATCTGATGATTATAGAATCCGTATTGTGTTATGTCTTATAATGTCTTATAATTAATTATTATTAATTATAATTAATTTCATATTAACTATTTGGTAGAGCTTGTAAAGCTTACATTTTTTATTAAAAAGAAATTTACCTTCCTGGCACTCTGACGATAAAGGACGGCTCTACATTGTATTTGGAGATGAAATGAGCTGCCAAAGTCTTCAATCGCGGTGAAATATCAGCGGTAGGTGCCAAAATAGGCACAAGGTCATCCGCCTCGACGATCCGGGTTCCGTTAGCTTGATGGGACATTTCAATAGCCACCTACACGGAGAGAATTTTCTTTTAAAATTTATCCTGAAAATATGGTAGTTGTGGTACAATACAATATTTTAAAGATTTTTAACATGCATTTCAGTAAAATTAATCAAACTTATTTTATACTTTATTGTAGTTTTATCAATGAATGAGAGAGATTTACATTAAAATTCTTCGAAATACAATATTGAACTACGACTATCATATTTTCAGGGTAAACTCTAAGAAAAAATTCTCTCCGTGTATGCAAAAACCAACCCCTTCGTCCAATTATCCCAAATATTATGGGATAATTTACATTACATCTTCTTGAAAATTTCATCATTTCCATCGCATGATTAACCTAACGAAATTATGTAATGCATGATTAAATGCTGTGTTTTGATATTAGCGGCAACTTTGTTGATATAATTACTATTTCAAGTTAAATTACAGGAAATGCGTAGGAATCAGTAGCAATACAATTACGCATTTCCAATTTAAGCCTCTTATCCTTGATATAACCTTATGGATTATGTAACAAGAATACATTTAGAAGACAATATATAATTTATGTAATAATATATCAATTTCTCTCTAGACATATTTAAATAATTTAAAATGTGTGTAAGACATAATAATCTAGTAGAAATTATTTAAGTATATTCTAAAACATACATAGCATTTAAATAATTTCAATAATATTTAATATAAAATATAAAGTATAATTTAAACGCTTGTTATGTTTTAAAACAATAACAAAATAAACGGTAATATACAAGCATAAAATAGATAACTAATTTTATTAAAATAAAGTTATTCACATGTACTCTATTCGAAACGTTTCGACTCTTACAGTAGTCCTCTTCTACAGTAGTCAACTATTTTATGCTTGTATGTTATCGTTTATTTTGTCAATATTTAATATATTAAATACATGGAACTACATGTTGATACGATTTTTATATCTTTATTATTTATAAAAGGCAAGATAAGAATATTTTCAAGAAAATAATTCATGACTACCTTTGATCGTGCTTTTACATAACGATAATTTAAAAGGCGATTCTCTTTTACAAAATATGATGAAAGCAAGCAATAATAAATAATAAAAGTACATACTAAATTATTAGCGATTAAATTTCATTACAGTGTAAAGCTTCTATCTCTTGGCTTCACTGCTCTTATTCAAACGTTCATTGAGGTCGTGGAGTACGGCTCGCCTTTTAATTCTAGGAATGGCATTTGATGGAAATGACGTTTAATATGTACACACAGCGAAGTGGCTTGCAACGCAAACCGCATAACAAATCTGCTTCATCGAGAAATTAGTGACGAATTAATGTGGCATTATAAACTGAATAAGATTTGCAAAGCCATTAATACATGACGGCATAATTATATTTGTTGTTGCGCCAGAAATCAAACGATCAACGTTGCAATAATACGATGACCCAATATATCGACCTAATATGATGTTTTACTTTTACGAGTTTCTCTTGAAAATATTTATTCGTACCATCTCCGAAGGTATTGCAAGCACAAAATGAAAACTTCCTTACAATAATTAGGTCTTATTTGCAGTTTGCATTATCCAGTTTATAAGCTTTAATATTTGTTTCTTTTATCAAATGATAAGATGTATACACGTACAAATGATAATGTTGTCGATATGGTCGAGTGCTTCATAATACTTCAATATACAAGTATTTATATCAATTAATATTTACATCAATTAATTAAAACTGATATTTTAAACTTGCATACACTGAAAAAAAAGATTGGCTGCTGCAGCAAATTAGATGGTTAAATATGGCATAGCATTTTTAATTGATTGCAGCAGCCAATTTTTGGTTGTGTTAGCCTATCGAAATCCTATATTGACATTGCGGATAGGCTAACGCAATCAAAAATTGGCTGCTGCAGCCAATTAAAAATGATGCTATGCCATATTTTACCATCTAATTTGCTGCAGCAATCAATCTTTTTTTTCCGTGTAGTGAACGTTATGCATGATAGAGGGTTAATTTATCAATAAAGGGGAATCGCCTAGCTTAAATATTATTCTCGGTAGTCTAAAGGCTTAGGACGCTCGCACGGAATGCAAGAGATCCGGGTTCGACTCCCGGCCGAGGCATTATTTTTCGCAATAAGTTTATTACAGTTTTTAAGTTGGGAAATTTGGGGGGATTATTAATATTTGATTGCGTTGAAAGTCCGACAACCATATCGGCACGCAATTATCATTTCTGAAATTAATTCATTTAAAATGAATTTACAATAGTTCAACATCTTAACGTTCTGACCGTTATGGCGCTTCTTAATTTAAAGTATTATGTTTAACATTAGCGGTCTTTCAATCTTATTATTGTTAAATATTATTCTCTCTCTCTCTCTCCCCTCCCTCGCTCTCCCCCTCCCTCTGTCGTCCCCTTTTTCCCCCTTGTCACAATCTGCAAGTGACTTGCTCTCAATGGAGGATTTTATATTTCTGTTTTTCACTGAGGATGACTCCAAAGTGAGCCGAAACGTTCGATACAATAAATGAAGATAACCCTGACATTAACACCTGAATATTATCTACATCTTCTAACTCTTTGCTCTTACATCAGCGTTTGACTCTCATTAGCCTTGTCTGAATTTTTATTTTATTGTTTAAGATTGAGAGCCCTTATTTATATATTTATGTAATTGTTTATATATGTATATATGTATAGTATAAATAAATGAAAAATTGTACGTTTTACGTACTTCTTCTAATTGTATAAATATGTCTCTTTGTATTAGAGGATAAATTACGATAACAATAATATATTTTACAGATTTTATGTAGCTATTGTAATTTATATGTGAATATTTTTGTAATACATATAATATATTAGAAATCGATGTATACAGAGACACATATATATACACATATATATATATATATGATTTACAGATTTCGTTTTTTGTTTTTTTTTATTTATACGAAAGATTCTGTTGCATCTAATTTATAATTTTTAATATTTGCCTTTCCTTAGTAAGAATACAAAAAGATCAACAATTTATTTACCAGTTAAACGATTGAAAATCAAATTGTTAATTTGACGTGTTGGTGAAAATCGTGCCGATTGGATATGAGATTTTAACACACAATCGTATCAAATATCTTTTTTTATTAGTTTTTAAAAATCGATATCAATATAGGTGCTATCTTGAGGTTCTTGTTATATAATAAATACAGGTGTTCGATAGAAAGAACATCTGCTGCTAATTGCGCAATCGTAAAATCTAGCTATTTTTTATGAATAAGAGAAAGTTCAGTGTGGATGCGACCGCAGAGATTATGAAAGACCCTTCCGGTAAAAATCATAATCATTTTAAAGCTGTGATTTCTCTCTCTTTCTTTCCTACTCCGAAAAATAAAGATACGATTGAAATAGAAACAGTAATTTTTTCATTCAAACTGGAACCTCATAATAACGAATCTCGAAATAGTGCGAAAAATTTCTTCCGCGCTATAAGTAGCATAAGAAAAGAGTAGTCACCAAAATCTTGAATTACATTGTTTCGGATTGAACTTCGGGAACTTGGAGGGACAAATCTCGCTAACGTTCAGATTCCCAAATCGCGCGCTATCACGAGGTTTCAGTGTAATTACACGATTAATTAATTAATTAATTAATCTGTTTCTGTATAAAGTTTCTTTTAAAATTTCCGATTAAAAATCCCATAAATATTTTAGAAAATCTCCATTTACTTATAAGGAAAAAACTTTTGCAAATTACAATCGAACGTCGTCGTACGACCGAACACAATTGAGAGCTACCAATCAGATATTAAAATCTCCCGAATATTTGATACGTCACACACGTTATTTTACGATGAACGATTCATAATAGCGCCGTCAGCGATACGGCGCGAGAGCGCGCGCGAGGTTGTTTGCGAGCGACTATAGCGGCGCGGCGCCGGTTGTGCCGTATCAGCTGTTTATTGTCGTGAAGCATGCAGAAGGGACATCTCGTTACGTGGCGGCGGATTTTAATAAAACGTCTCGGGATTCGATAAAACTTTGACAAGACGGTAGGGACGTACCTCGTTCTGCAGGAGCTCGCCACGACTTACTGAATGACGTGACTCGTTATCGTCGTTGATTAACCTTATCAACACGTGATGCGTTTTTACGGCGTACTTGCATTCTTGACTGGTGGACCACGACGTGTTACTTATCGATCTGTCATCTTACGAAGTACAACACGCTGTCGAATGAGTCGCTGTTGCTGGTGTATGATCTGTATGATTCGCCATACTTGCGTTCAGAATCTTCGCCTAGGTTCACCCAGGTGTCGTTTTATCATTGTCGTTAAGGGGATGCTGGAGCCGCCTGTATTATCGATAAAATTAGCTTTTAAGTTTAGTTTTTAATGTTTTTGTTCCTGTCGAATTTCTTCGTAATGGTTTCACAGAATAAAAATTCCTTTTCCATGATTAAAATATACACGCTAATGTATTTGTCGCTGGTGTATTTTATGTTCAAAGCTGGAAAAAATAAAAAATTACAGATTTCTTTATCCATTTTTATCTCAGTATGGTGACCAACGCTGAAGGTAAAATGAATAAAGAAATTTGTATTTTTTTATTTTTTCTGGCTTTGAACACAAAATACACCAGCGACAAATACATTAGCGTGTACGTTTTAATCGTGAAAAAGAAATTTTTATTCTATGAAACCATTATGAAGAAATTCGACAGGAACAAAAACATGAAAAACACTAGTTTTATCGGTAATACAGGCGGCTTCAGCATCCCTTTAAACAAAGATGAAACAACACCTGGGTACACTTCGATAATGATGAATGCGGCCTTACCTATCGTAGCACCGTGCTACCGTGGCGGGTTATTCGAACATATTCATAATAAAACGTGCATCACTAACGAAATGCTTTTAGCCTTTAAGGGGCTCCTAAACTGATTACCGAACTTGATCGAGGTCGATAGTGCAGACTTTTTTAATTCCAAATTCGATAATAGTGACATCTTTGATTCATTTCTTACATTATATTATATATCGTTCTATCTCACTTAAACGCATACATCTGTCCTTATCTAACATATGCCAGCACCATCTATCGCAAGATCGCGCAACTATTACTACACGGAATTTCGGCTCTGTTGACAGTCCCAGTCTTCGCAAAGCATCCGTATACACGTATTTTCCATTCGGTGAAAAAGCTTTTCTTCTAGACTTTCAATCTTAGTTCTACAAACTCGGTATCGTTCGTTACAATAATGTGACCTCAGCCGTATGCTTATTTTCAAGATATAAACTATAAAACTCTTGTATGAAGCAAATATAGACCTGAGGTGTCAGCTGTACGAGCTAAAAGTAAGCGAATTTTTAAACTTTTCTTCGATTTTTTCATAAAATCCGATATAGCTGAGGTCCTATTTGTGCGTACTTTAATTCTGTAAAAACAATTTTGCAATCCGTCAATTCAATTCGGAGATATTTCACCGAATGGAAATGATGGTAAAGTAGAACAACTTTAGCATCCCCTTAACCTTTGAGTTCTAGTATCGAGAATTTCTTAAAATTTGGACCGTATTATTGCGATTATATTGAGTTCATTTGCTCGAATTTTAAACACAGGAACTTATCCGCAATTTGTACAATATCGAAGTAATAGGAGATATCTATTTTTAAATTAGGCATATGTTAAAATAAATATTGTATGTAACAATAACGTACATTTCCAGTTTTATTTAAAACTTTTATCCTTTTCTACCATAAAATATATTTTGATTTGTATTCTTAATGTATATAATATTTAAAAGATCTAAAGAATTTTTTTTGAACGAAATGAAGATTTTCTGCTAAGAAAATGTATTATTTAATTCTTTAATCTTGGTTTAATTTATTTTTTATCTTTTTTTAGTTCTAAGAATTAGAAAAAGCTAAAGAGATAATTAAAATTGATCTACATTGGTAGAAATAGACAGAAATCATACGTTAAATTTTTACAGAAGTTATATTATCGATTACAACAGTTAGCAATAGTATCAGCAGTCAGTACGATAGTATTACGGTCGTACAGTATCATAGCGAATGATTTATCTTTAGTCGATTTCATTAATAATTGTTACCAATAACCACTACTAAAGATTTCATCGAAGATATTGAAATGTTTTTATTTTATGCAGTTATTGGACTGCAGTTATTAAATTTTGAGTAACATCTAATGTTTTTTGTTCTATCGATAAGATAGGAATATCGAAGTAGTAAGTAGAAGTAGGTATTCGCTCTACGCATACACATGTTTGTTCGATCATGTTTATATTCCATGTGCCACTGATTGTGAGTTGCACAAGATTAAATATTGACAAATACTATTTTAGGACTATTTTAATTTATCAAATTTTGATAAAAGTTAAAATTATCGAGAGATGAGTTGAAAATGATAAAGAATAATCCCAAATGTGTAAGTTTTAAATTGAAAGCACAAGAATGCTGGTTGTAATTTTTTTCTTCCATAAAAGAAATTCGACGTGCTATGTATTTTTGAGTCATATTAAAGAAATCTTATCCAACTGAATTCTGCCCTCTATAATCTTGTAAGCTGATACAGCTATCGTGAGTACCGTAATCCTGGGAATTAGAAAACGCGTTTAAATCTCACTCGTGCAGCTCACTCAATTTCGAAAAGAAAGGAGGAATACGTATTCCGGAAACGGCGCGGATAACACAAAAGCGTTCCTTATATCATTCTCTGGATTAAATTGCATTATCGGATAAGATGGTAGGCAGTCAGCACACCATAATGTATGTTGCCCTCGAGGCTGAGTCGAACACGATCAGCTCGGGTGAAATGAACCGTTCAGAGAGTACTTCCCTGAATTTTTATGTGATCTGCCGCGCGCAGCCAATCCGAATTACTCCGACTTTGTTGGCGACGCTTGCTGCGGACGGATTCGAAATCACGAGTGGCTTGTTAATTCGCCGCGCCGTTTTCGAGTATGTTCCAGAGCAAACGAATCTATCCTCGTATTTTTTTTTACAGAAGAAAAACGCGGTCGACTATATTCAAAATATATTGAATATATTTGCAAATCGACGTTCGAATTTTGATACGGGTGGTCGAATGTCAGGGATGTCTAATGTCCATTTTTATCAACGTACATTAATTTTAATCTCAGTTTAACTTACTTTTTATCTTTTTCTAATTCTAAGAATAAGAAGAAGATAAAGAATAAATTAATCTATATTGGTAAAAATGGACATTAGATTTATCAGTTATTTAATTTATTATAATGTTAAATTATTTATGTTAAATTAATTGGAACTTGAACGTATTAAAAATTGTGAGTTAAATCGACGACGTTACGTTACTATATCTTCACTTGAGAATATTCTTATCGCTCGAAAGAACATTGAATAATACTGGAGCATTGGAAGCTGCGAACGAGATCATATAGCATGATTGAAATGTATCTCCGTATAATGTTGCGGAGCGGTTTCCGTGTCGTTGAATCCACAGCGCGAATCGCGAGTCGATTTCATTAGCGTCGCATTTGGCGTGCGCCCGTCAAAATTGCAGTAGCAGGCAGGCGGCGGGAGCTTAAGAGAAACTGCCATCGCCATCGTGCAGACGGTGGTGAAAAGGGGAGTGGTTGGTGGTGAAATAGGAGCTGGCTGCTGCTATGCTATGGTGGGAGAAACCGGGCCAGTAATCTCCGCTCACGGCTCCACTTCTGCGTAATTTATTACGACTTGCCGAGCATCCCGCAGGGTCGAATCCAACTTCGGATAGCGAAGCGCACTTTCTCGCTAGTGAACTGGGGATTTATCGTAAAATACAAAATGAACCGTCAAGGAACAGTATTATGAATCAGGTACTTCTCGAGGAATAAAAAGGTTTGCGCGAAAATACTTATTGTTAACGCAAAATCTAGCTACCGTTTTGTGGTTTCTTTTATCTTCACGTAAAGAATAAAATTTTAAATTTGTATCAAAATAATCGAGCAGATATAACATGTCAAATTTAATTTTCATTTTTGTAAAATGTGAAATTGATAATAGCCGAAAGGGGTTGCTAGTATTATTTATATAAGGATTTAGATTTTCTAGTCTTATCATATTTCAGTATATATTATCGCAAGCACTCAATATCGAAGTCTTAAGTTATATTCCGAAATCTTGCTTTTACACGATCGTAAAATGTTTCGCATCTATCTGAACGCGATATAAAATTCCACCGAGATGTAAGAACTTCGGCGCGGTGCCCACGGAGAGTGCATCCCTGGGTGAACCGTATAGCACGTATTATACGAGGGTGAGGGTGATCAACAATGGCGGCACGACCTCAGGAGGCTCCTCCGTTCTCCGTTCCCTGTTCCCGACGCCATTTTACGTTGATTACGATGCGGTTAGCTCCTTCCAGCCTCCCGCAACCCCTCGAGTCACTCCCTCATTCCACTCGGACTGCTTTCCTTCCTTCCATCCCGCCACCCTTGCTATTCAACCTCTCCGGCACCTCCTCGCCTAATTCTATTCTCCTCCTCTCCTTCCGAGGCACTTACACACAATCGACTCGACCAACACAATCCATGCTTGCCGGTCACCGTACTTAACGTTGTGGTCCGTCCTGTGAGGTAAGAACAGCTCGGCAGCACGGATCAGCGACTGATCTATGAGTCTTTGTCATGTTTACCGAACCGCCGGCCGGGCATCTCGGCTTAGTCTCTTTCGCCCGGCGATATATCGCGAGCGTTCGTGCTGTAAATGCTATAGTTGTGTTCCTCGTGTCGAACGTTACTTCCATGTGACTCTCACGTAACAGAGAAAAAGGTAGAAGTGAAGTATAAATTTCAAACAGCGCGCTATGGTTTTGGTTTTGTCCAGATAATTATAGAAATTTTGCATTTATGATAGAATGCCTTGGAAATATAAAAAAATTGTAAAGTAATTTTTTACAAACTTGGGCCGGTATTTATAGTCCATTCTTATTTCAAGAACGTCTTAAGTAATATCTTAAGGAGATTTTAAGGCAAATGCAATATGTTAAGAATTACTTGAAAAAATTATAGATTATTCTAAATTACATTTAAAAGTTACAAAAAAATTAAAGACAGTTGACCATCTGGATCAAAAGTTATTTTAATAAAAAGTAATATTTTTTAAATTTGTACTCTAATAGAAATATAGTATATGAAAATGTATTATAAAATAATGATATTTAAAAATCTCAATTTTTTTATATAAGTACTATATGAATTTGAAA